CGTGTGCCTTGGCAGTCTAACCCTCCTGTTGTCTTCGGGTCAAATCTGACTTCCTACTTTCATCAATCATAACTTTTTTGTTTTACATTCGATTGCATTAAGGCTTTATGATATCCTTCACAGTAGACATTTGAACATATCAAATTGCTGATCAACACTTTCATTGAATTTTGGATGATTTAGTCAATTTTGTAACATCCATGGTGTTCCCGGTCACAAAGGACCGCCATAAAGAAAAGGAATTAGTAACCATCCGGATCAGATAGAGCTCACACACACACACGCACACACACGCACGCACACACGCACGCACACACGCACGCACACACGCACGCACACACACGCACACACAGAACAATTTGGCCCATTTCCCGCTCTTATGTGCCCATCCCCCCCCCCACATGGATCACACCTGGCACACGCACTACATGTTCAGTGTCTGTTCTTTGTATATTTATTGCAGTTTTTCATGTATACCAGTAGTCTGATACAATATGTACAGTTTGAAAGGGTGTTAAATGAAATTTGGTGCTGATTAATGGTTTTTGTGTTAATGTAATAGCAGTTAAAACAGGACTGGTCAAATTTGACGGCGAACACCAAAGTAAGCGGGTGAAAACGAAGACAATAGGAGGGTTAAGTGACAGTTTGAGGTACATGTACTTGAGTATTTCCTTATCTGGCACTTTATCTACTCAAGGGAAATATTGTACTTTTTACTTCTCTACATTTATTAGTTACTAGCTTATTTTCACATAAATACAATTATCTGTTCAAACGACATATCAACTTTAATTTACTGAGTGGAAACAAAGTATCCACAATGTGCTCTATTGCCGAATGACAACATACAACATACTCTTTTAGGTATTTGTTAAGGATAAAAACAGGATTTTATACTGTTACATTCAATTACAAAATAACACTTTCAAAAGAGTCAGTCTGCTTAATAAGTACTTTTATTTTTGATACTTGAGTACATTTTGCTCATAATACTTGTAATGGAGTATTTTAAGACAATCATATTTATAGTTTTATTAAAATAACAATTGCCTTTATCCCACATTATCTGGTTCATGTCTTTTTAGTTGACTCTTTTTATCCAACACAGCTTTCATACACTATAGACATGCTTACCTCAGCAATTTGGGGTTAGGTATCTGAGCCGAGGATCAAACCATGGACCCTCCGACACTGACCACCCCATTAGTATACAGCCGTATGTCGTTGCAATAATATAACTTTAATGTAAAATATGTATCCTGTTGTCGTTATTTGTATCTTTTAATACATCATCATCTCTGCCAACTGCATTGTTTTGGTTTTAATTATGCACTGCACTCTTGGCTGCATGTAAATAAATACATAAATATAATTGCCGCTTTGAGAGGATGAATAGGTGAAATTCATGGCTAAATGAATTGCAGTGCAAAAGTTCAAGACAGCCGCAGCCTGACTGAAAGAACACACAGCAGATTGCTGTGTACAGATTGCTCGCTCAACACAATAATAACTGCTAACTGTTCCCACTCAAGAAACATAATTGTAACTAAATGCTATTTCCAATGTCGTTTTAGCCTAAGGTCAACATGAGCTGATTGGTTTATGAAACACTCAATGGAACAAATTGTCTCGGGAAATGAGCGCTTGGATATGAGAACTACTGTGTAAGAGCAATAAGTGATTCAGAAACACTTTGGTGACAAATGGAGTTAAATAATAATCCAGTGTGTTTACGCTCGGCTCTCTTCATCAGGGTTACAAGATATAGAAAACATTCAAGTACAATATATACACAATTTATGAACTGAATCATGTTGTAGGCTACGCGCTGCAGTTCTACAGTTTCAATGTACAGCCTTCAGTGCTTAGAGACAGCAAATACATCCTTTAGACGGCAAAACAAATATATCCTGTCCTTCCAGCACAATAAAGAGCATTATGCTGGATGGAAGCACGCCGTCGGGAATGGAGCATTCTTCGAAAAATAAGTAGAAAACAACTATATTATATTCAGCCCCTGAGGTCCTCAGACATCTTAAGAGATGTGGTGTTCGACACATTCTCAGGCTGGTGTGTGAATCATATGGAGACAAACACACACCACACACACTAAGGTAACCACTGTGCCTTAGACATAGAGAGCCCAGTGGGGAAATTGAAAAGGATTCAGCAAAAGTTACAGGTGCAGGGAGGTGAAATAATATTATGTTATTGTCATTTCTTTGCTTTTTCTTCTTCTCCCTGCTCAATAACATGGCAGTGTACAGTACATGTTATCAAACACATAATACTCCAGTTTTTCTTCCTTTGTTGAAGCTGTGAACTAAAATATGCAAATGTTTCATCAAATTGCCTTTCTGGCATATGTGTTCGCCTGTATCTACACTGTATTTCCTATTTCGGGCCTGAAAAACAAGAAAAGGATCCTCCACAGGTTTTAGAAGCCGCGAGGAGATGTAGGAGTTTTGATGTGTTGAGCCAAAGCTCTAAAGGCGGCATCGGCTGAAATCAAACAGCTTGCACAACACAGAGCTTAAAGCTAATGAAAAATAGATTTAGGAGGGAACACGTTACTTTATTTCAGTCTCTCAAAGCGGCGTGATGGAAGGCAACATGTGCGACAGAACAGCTTGTGAACTAGTTATGTAGGCTCTGTGAAGCAGCGCTGTTTGTGAGTCAACGGCGTGAGCTTCAAATGCCACTCTGCTGATCCTGCCGGGCCTCCGCTAAAGTAAAAACAGACTGTGATGACAACTCTGTGGTGCCATAAAGACGCCCATTAACAATGTGTGTTTCTGGTGCTGTCGAGGGGGGGATCTAGATCAGCTCACCTCAAGCTGTTGAAGCAGCCTACAGCTAAAAAACAAACCTAACTTCCCTCCTCCATCAAACAATCCCTACCGCATTTAAGATGAACAAAATCCAACGTGACAAAATGCCCAGTCTCTGTAAACAGGGGCTAAAGCAACTAACGAGGTTTGACTGGCTGCAGTGCCAGACTGTGTGTTACATCTGATGGAAACAGAGTGCAAGCTGTTGGAGAAATGCATGGCATCGAGCCTGACAATTGCTGAGTGCTGTGTAAGCTTCACTGTGCTCTTTCTGTCGAGCCACAGCGTGAGGGTCCACCATGTCCTCGTTTGACACTCGGAAATATACAGTAAACCTAATATGTGCAGGAGATTGTGTCTGCGTGGGCGTGTCTTTTGGGGAAATAAGGGGCATCATGACATGTGGTGGTGGTGTGGATGCAGCCCCCCTCCATTTAAAAGTTTCAAAAACTGTCTAATGAGCGTTGCACTGGTCTACTTGATGGAAAGCAAGTTGAATGACTATTTGCTTTTGGATTATTGCATAAAATAAGGTCCGTAACAATCAAATGTTTACTATACTTGATCAGCAACATAATCACAATTGTATGATTCAGTATGCATCATTTCATTTGCCAGATGCAAAAAGCTAACCTTGAAAAAAACAAACAAGATGACCTTTAGTAGTTTAGTTTAGCCTTTTGTTAGCAAACATGTAAAGCTTAATCTCCCTTTGTCCTTTTGTGTCCTTCTGTAGTCCATTTCCTGTTGTTTGTCTTGTTTTACCCCCGCTGATATTTCACTAAATCCACTGTTTTAATTGTTCCCTATATTGCCCCTATGCCCTATAAGGTGTCCTTGGGTGCTATGAAAGGCGCCCCCCAAATAAAATGTATTATTATTATTAATCATTCAAAAGTGGTATTTTTACTGACATATTTTGTGAGGTAGATCACAATGTCGTAACCTTGCAGATACCAAAGACCTATTTCTTTCTTTTTAGACAAGAAGACCTGAAATGCTGACCAAATGTTGATCTCTCTTGAAAGTTTGGACTTTTTGCATTGCTGAGTAATTCAAATGTACATTAACAACAAAGTATTAGCCCCATAGATGATCTGCTTTATTGTAAATCGTTGTGTTTACAGCTCTGTAGTTGGTTGGTTTTAATTGTCACATTGGTTATCCCTCAACATCTAATGCAATCGAACATAATAATAACTTAAAGTGGACCTATCATGCTATTTTTAGGCAATAGCATAGGTCTCAGATATATAAAAAAAATGTCTATGAAGTGTTTTGTTCAAAATACCAAACAGATCACCCATTCTAGCCATGCCTCATATCCCTCTATTTCACTTCCTGTTTCAAAAGTGCTGATTTGGGGTATAAAGCTTTAAAAAATAAAAAAAATAAAAAAGTAGGGGTCTGAGCTCATGCGGGACCCGGCAGCTACTGTCTAAACTAAATGCTGCGGTGATGAAACGCCATATCATGGATTATCAAGGGTTATCTCTGAAACAGTATGGAGCTCAAAGGCTTTCTCTCTTGCCGGTTATACCACAAGGTGAGTTCCTTTGTATTTCCTGCTTCTTCACACACATGCTCTCCAGTACAGGTTAGCTCTGAGTGTTAGCGATGCTAATGTAAACACCGACCATATTACGTCCAAAACAGTCGGGCATTGTTTCTGATAGCCAACTTTCTGATAGGGCCGTGGGTGTAAAGCCAACATACATTTCCGATATTACGTCATATCGGACGCAAATCTGGATCAGCTCCGTTGTACCCCCGTTTTTAGAGATTTGGGTACGGAGGAAAAGAGGGAGGGTTTTATTTTCTGACGCTGCGTGAGTTCCCCGACACACCGGGGACACATCTTTTTTTATAAAAGACATGAAAAAGTGCATTTTGCATGATAGAAATG